AACTTGGAACTCGAAGGTTTTAGGGAAACCGGAAAGTAATGTTAATTATTTATCAGCTCACCGTGTACCGATTGATTTTTATCGATCAGGTATTACAAATTTGCACACTGGATGGCAAAAGATCGTTGGTAACGAGGACGTAATTAGATAATTGATTAAAAATTTAATCTAAAAGAATAACGTAGACAAGACGACGTTACTTTCTAATGGAATACTATTAATCTTTATTTTATTTAATTGTGGAAACTAAGAGGAACGATCTTTATTTAATTGCGAATGAAACATATAAACAAGAGAAGCTGGTGATAATTATCTAGATATAAATAACAGAAACAAGCCAACGTTTTCGTGAAAAATACACACACAGGTCTGAACGTACATAAAGACCTGTTCATTTTTTCAGACAGAGCTCAGCCTTCTTTTTTAACACAAAGTGTAATACATCTTCGCATTAACCAAATAGTATTATTCCAACACTGGCCCCCCTAATATTCTTCCGAATGCTTCTGATAATTACGTGTTTCTTTCCCAAAGATCATACCCTCGTGAGATGTCGCTCTGACGTCGCTGTGACGTCGCTGTCGTTTGATTTTAGCTACAGTGAGAATATCGGAATTTCATTCGGATATCAAATATAGTAATCAGATATAATAGCTTCAACAAAGACCGTAGAACCACGAGTAACAATAGGAACGAGCGAAATTGAAATTAGCAAGTCGAAGAATCCGGTGGACAAAGAGGCTGTGGCGCGCGCGGGCGAGCAGAGCGTCTCTCTTTTCGTGCCCTTCGTCTCTTTCTCGCCTGTTTTTTTGCCAGCCCTTTTTTCACCGTCGAGCAGGGCCCGCCCGGCGACGGGAGGAGAGAAAGAGAAAGGAATTCGTAAAAAGAGGGGAATGCGACACGGGGTGGCCGTACGTCATTCTGTCCGTGGCGCGGCGAGGAGGAACGGATATATGCGCCCTCTTCCTCCCCGCCCCGCGTGGCCTTCGAGAATTTTGCCGAAACGCTTTCGATCCAGCGCGCAAAACTGCAGGAATCCGTGCAAAGAATTTTCGAAACGTTCGTCTCGGCTCCGCTCGCGAGGAACCGCTTCTTCTTGCGGCGAAGGTTCGTTCTTTTGGCGGGAAAAGGTCCGCGACGGTGCTACCATCTGTAAAACTCTGTAATCTCGGTCAAAGATGGCCAGAAGTTTCGTCGTGTAAATTTGCGCGATCGTCCTTCGTACTGATTTACCCAAACAGTATTTTTAAAAATAGAGTAAGAGGTAAACTCGACGTCAATCGTGCCATTTTCGATATAGATTTATCCTAGTTGGTTCCGACGAGTTATTTTCGAATGAGAGTGAGATGTATATCCGCTGTTTTCTTTTTACGAGGTACGAATTTTTGCAACGCTTTTCATACGCGGAGGTATAAAATTTACAAGCTTTTCATGCGTTGGTTGTAAACTTATAAGATGCACGAATCTTGGAACTTTTACTACCTTTTCGTCCATTCGTTATGCGCTTATAAATGCATGAAATCTGATATCTTTTTTTTTTTTTTTGTGTATCCGGGATAGTAGACTTATGATTTTCCAGACGACTTTTTCATATTGAAACAGTATGCACAGTTATGTATGGCTTTGTAATAGGGGTGTGCGGGATTCCCGAAACTATTCGGGATTCTCGGAAATACACGAGATCCCGCAAAAATCCGGGATTCCCGAGAATGTACAGGATTTCGAAAATGTTCGGGATTCCCGACAATGTACGGGATATGGAATGATATCTGGGATTTCCGAAAGTGTTGTTATTCTTGAAAATTTCAGCAATCCGAATGTACGGGATTTCGAAATTCCCGGGAATACCGAATGGTTTCGGGATCCCGGAAATTCACGGGAATCCCGGATGTACTCGGGATTTTGAAATTCTCGGGATTCCATCCCGATCCCGGGAGGAATTCCCGTCCCGACCGGGATCCCGCACACCACCCCTAGTTTGTAATATATTTTGGTAATACTGTTGATCTGAAATCGCGTTGAAGTTCCAAATTCGAAAGCTTAGCGATTGAATAGAGAGAGGTGTGCATCTTGCCCTAGAGAACGCGTGCCCGCAAGGGAGATAAAGTCACAGCGGCTGGGGTAGTGGGGGAAGCCCTTCGGTGACCTTGAGCGGTCAGACTATCGTTCCAACTCCGTTTAAATCGAAACGCAGCCTCTTCCCTCTTCTTCTCCATCTCATCGCGCAGGTATACGCCAAAGTTTCTCGAGAACTCAGATCTTGTTCTCTCCGCAATTATTTAAAAAACGATAAGATCCGAGAAACACTGCGCGGACAGTGTCGCCGATTAGAAGGAGCAAAGCTGCAAGAAAACCTAAAGAAAAATACAGGAAAATGTAGGAATGAAAATTTTATGTACTAGATTGCCCCAAATGTAATAAATAATATTAGATTGTCCCAAAAGTTTCTATCATTTTATTGATAATTAATACATACACAACATTTTATGTCTAATGTTACATTATACAATTGCATACAATTCATTTTGCTTTATTACTGTCACAACGTTAACATCTAAGAAATTAGGTTGTCTATTTATATAAACACTGCCATACAAAATAATTGAGTGCAAGTCACGGAAGAAACGTTTGGGACAACCCTAACACACTTCGCTTCATCGAAAAGCCTTGAAACCGAATATAGCGACACCAATTTTCCAAAAAAAAATCGCACATCTAGCCACGGTTAACCTTTGAGTCGACTTTCGATCCGTGACAATCCTCCCTGTTAATTCCCGCGACAACGAGGAAAGTAAAAGCGTGCAGGAAGGCCTCGTTCGCGGGGGTGCGATGCGCTTCGGCCCCCCGCGCCCGCCCGGGGGGGGGTGTGGAGGTAACGCATTAAACACCGTTCCTCCTCGAGAACGATACCGAACGGGACAAGGTGAGGAGGGTAATACCCTTCCTCCTCCTGGTATCGTTACCACGATGTAACGCGACGAGGAACGAGCGGTCGTTCACGTCGTCGTCGTCGTGGTTGTTGTTGCGCGCACACTCGCGGACCAGTTGTGTGGAGGTGCTCGGCAAACGACAGAGACAGAAGGGGGCGGGGGTGGGGGTGGAGTGAGTGCGAGATGGGTCGCGGGTGTGTACCACCGTATGCAGTTGTGTACGTGTACCTAGACGACGGCCAGAGGGTTCGAGGAGAGGGGTTGAAGCTGGTGGGGCGGAAGGGTGGCCGAGAGAAGCCGGTGGAGAATACGGGGCCGGGAGGGAAGAAGGGTGAATCATGGCGGGGTGGTCTCTCGAAAGGGGTGGAGTAGGCGCGCGGGGTGTCTCTTTTGAGCCGCTGAACTTTGCCAAGTTCGAAACCGTCCGAGGCCGCGCGGCGACTCACCCTCTGACGTGCATTCGGCTTCCAACCCTCCTTCTTCTCTCTCCCTCCCTCTCCTCCTCACCGTCCGCCACCCCCCTTCTTCCAGCCTATCTCCCGTCCGTCTGTCTCGCTCTCCACCCCTCGGGTAGGGTGGCTACGCGTCGCGTCTCTGTCTCTTCTCCGACAGCTTCTCTCTCTCGTCGTGCTCCACCTCGTCGTTCCCTACCCCCAGCCTACCGCTTCGCCGTACCCTCTCAGCCGTCGTGGTATTATGGAAATTTTGAACCAATTCGAAAATCAATAGTCCCTGCCAGGAAGCCTCGAGGCGGCCTACGTTGCAGCGACGCTCTTCCCTAGAATGTATTCAGGACCGGCGGTGTGTTTCACGAATCGAGCGTGTGCTAGCCTCTCGCGTTCATCCACGGTGGAGAGACTGGCCGACATTTTGGTACCGCGCCGAAGACCTTAACCCTTTCGGCGAGTGAGACCTCGTAACCGTCGACCGTGGTCGTCTAGGAGTGAGTCTTTTTTTTCCGACCATGTGTGCACGCTTTCTGGAAATCGGGCTACGAATCGCCGCGGTAGAATCGAAGATTTCAGGGTGCCCCATGCACGGATATCCATGTACCGATTTTCGATTACTTCGTATGTATCGTTTCTGAGATGTCGATGGAAACAAAGGCTAATTTTGATATATACATTCGCGTGTCATTCATGTGGAATTCTTTCAAAAATATCGTGGCGTCCATGCTTCAATGACATAGAGAATTTGAAACAGATACATTATGTAGTACACGGTAGTCTCGCGTAAGTCTCTTAAATCACGCCTGGACGCAGGTAGAGAATTCGTTCTTGGAACCGACCAACCTAAACTCGATCGATCTTCGAAACACTCCCATCGCAGTCGAGTAGCAAGTTTCTTCTCGAAGTACGTACCAGAGAGTATCTGTACGCGATAGAAGGTTAGGGAATTCGTTCTTGGAACCGACCAGCCTAAACTGGATCGATTCTCGAAACGTCTACCGAAAGTTGTTTACCGCGGAAGAATAGATCCCAGAAAGTAAATAGAACCGCGGCAGAAAGTCAACATGAGTGTAGCGGTAAATGCGCGGCGGGCGAGGTGAATCTACCTCCTGCGTCCAGGAACGTGTTAAGTGCGGGGAAACGGAGAATTCGCGGTGGAAAAAGGAACGAGAGGGGTTTACGTTTCCCCTTTCAGAGAAGGTAGAAGCCGTGGAGGGAAGGAGGAGAGAAGCGCGGGTCAAAATCTTGGCAACGTTGGAGGCTTTTTCATTTGATGTGCATCGGATTCCGGGACGCTTGGAATCGCTTCGGTTCCCATGAGCCTTCGCGGCGGTTCGAGTTAAAGGATAGAGAAGGAGCGAGGAGGGGGCGTCCGCGGGTCTGTTTAGTGGGGAGAGCTTTTTTCGTTTTACAAACTGGTTCAATTTTTTCTCAAAAAGCGGGTGAACACCGCGGAAACCGGTTGTGTCTACGCCGACTCGGGACTACGACTCGCCGAGGAGGTGGAGGCGTCGGAGGGGAACTTCTCTTCTCTTCTCTACTCGTCGGGGGCTCCAGGTTCGTGTAGATACAGGGTTTCTCAATCTTCGCCTTCCCACAAGCTCCCTTAATCGAACAGACGGACCCTTCGATCAAACCAAAATTCTTAACTGATTAGAATCGACGTCTCATCCCTCCAATTTCACTCAGAACTATTCTTAGAAAATGAATTTTTAGAGGATGAATTTTTAGGGAATGAATGTTTTAAGTACTATTTTAAATACGTACCCAAGATATTTCAAATAATATTTAAAACATGAATTCGTTTTTTATTTACTACTCCACTACTTGATTTTATACTATTTTAAGTACGTACCCAAAATATTTCAAATAGTATTTAAAACATGACTTCATTTTCTATTTACTATTGTACTATTTAATTTCGTACTATTTTAACTACATACCAAAAATACGAACATTGCATGTCTTTTTGGAATTTGTTTGAATCTGTGTAATATCGTAATTAGCCCATGGTCGAGGTAGTTGACCTCTTGATAAGGAAAATGATTAAGTAGCTTCCTTGCGTCTTCCGCTCGCGAATCTCTGAGGAGGCCCCATTTTGAGAATCGCTGGTTTAGAGTGTGCTACGTAGCCCCCTGGTTCAACGAGTATCCTTCTTCTTAATTGAACCAACTGATCCCATTGTGTCTGCCGCGGAGGGCACGCTTCGACCGAAAATCCAATTCCCTGCTCCTTCGAAACTTTCTCGTAAATGTCTGCCGACGTCTTGCCCGGAACACCCGTAATTACTGAGATTTTTCCCAGCTCCTTGATGAACTTGGAAGCTTTCGCGAACCTGCTCCTGCAATCCGGACCCGTTAGCTCTCCATCGCGTCAATTTCATGTTACACGTTCAATTGTAGATCGCGAAAGGAAACATTTTCCAAAGTACTGCTCGAAGAATGCATCTCTCGTCCTCCCCCAAAAATCGCAATTACGATTAACAACACGAGCAATTGTTTCATTAATGCTTTTCCCTTGTCTATTCTTAAACTTCGTTTACGCAAGCGCAGGTATTCTTCCGAACGCGATGCATCGAATTCGGTCTCGGTTGAAAAGAGAGTAATCCACTCGAAATAGTACGCGAATTTCTCACGCCGTCTGACATGATTATGATAATAGCGGCGAAGCTTTAAGACGATTTGGAAAAGGCTCTTTTGTGCATGACACACTTTTTCCTTTCGCGAAACCTACTCTAGAGAAGCCAACGCGAAGTAGGTTTCCATTAGCAACGACGTATTATTATTTACCAGGCACGCTCCGAGAATCCAGAAGACTCTTTTCAGTGGCGTAAGCTCGCGTCACGGGCCTGCGAACGTCGAAGACGAACTGCGACACATCCGGAGATTTGTTTCGTCAACTCGAGTCCAAACCTTTCGCAATTTATTTACGACTCTCTACCACTTTCCAATTACAGTAATGTCTCCGCAACTGCACAAGCTCGGGACTGACCTTGTGCAGTTATCGTAGAATTCGAACGTAGAGAAGGACAGCGAATAAAGAACCTTTTTTTTTTTGTAAAACTTTTACCACCATATTCCAAGCATTTTTCTGATTAAAATGAGACCAAGCACGATATAATTCGGATGATATTTACCATGCATCTTTTTTTAGTTAGCGTTCTACGGTATATGATACATAATAAGTTGTTACAAGTAAATAGGTTGCGAATTACATCGTGTTTGGTTTCATTTTAATCAGAAGAATGTCAGGAATATGATGGTAAAAGTTTGACAACAGAAAAGTCAATAATAAGAAAATTGGACCGTTGCATTAAATTGTCTCATAGAGTAATCCGATTCCAGATCATGTTTACACTGGTCGACGATCGAACTCTTTGATTCCTCAAGAGGTATACCCTCCAGTGGCGGAGCTGGTTTCTGTGCATTTATCGTAGCCAAATTTCTGCAGTTATGGAGACATACCGTTCAAAATTTATGAAATCGTTCGGCAATTAATGACAAAATCAACAACTTTTTTCGCATACTTTTTCGTATAATTAAGTTAATCACCAAATTTCATTGGATTACGTATGCGGTTGATTTATTGCTATCATCCTGAAACATACAAAAATCCTCTTGGCAGGAGTGGGACGAAACAAATAAAACTGATTGATATCGTATTTATTTTATTAAATAAATCGTATAAATAAATGAAGTTACACTCGAGCCACGCCACAGTCGACGTGCGGGGGATTCTGTGTACACGTTGAACACAGCCGGCTGCAGCGCCGGTCGAGTGCACTTCACGATTACTACTAGGCGGCACACTTCACAGGGTCTTCCCGCAGCCGTTTTTTCTCCGAATCGATGGTCGGGCAAAATTAATTCCACTCGATTTCGACCTGCCTCTTTTTCCGGGAGCGCGCAAGTAAATCGCCCCCTTGCCCCGGATTTCTAAAAGAGCACGAGATATTTCTGGTGCACGTGGTAACCTCTCCACCCCCAATCTCCACTCGATTATCGCGTCGGCGAAATAACGGTCAAAGCTAAAATTGAATGATTCCCGGATCGATCACTCGGGGAAGTGGCACCAAAGGACGCCAAGGAGGACCAACGAGGAGTTTCTCCAGGAGTTGCCCAATTGGGCCAACCCCGACTCCTATAGTCTATAATGAGTCGCTGTCGCGTGGAAAACAATTCTTAATTCTCTTCTATTGTGGAGAATGTTGTTTTTTGAATCAGATATTTATTATGTAGTTCATTTATTATATACTCATTGTATAGTTATTACATGAGTCTATAATGGGTCGCACTATAGACACTATAATCGTACTCTTTATTGAAGAAGTTTGACTAATTTAAATAGTAGTTTTGATATCACCAAATGAATTTCTCATTATACGTATGCACTATACATACAGGGTGTCCCAAAAGTCGGGGAGGAGCCGGAAATGGGGGATAGCTGAGACGATTCTGAACAAGAATTTCCTTTGCAAAAATGTCGGATGGGACACCCTGTATATCATTACACATATATATGTATATGTATATGAATAACTTCATGTATATTTATATATACATCAACATATTTATACAAACATACACTTGAACACAAATTTCCAAAAGAAAAACAAATAAACGAATCGCTTCGATAGACATAAAGGGTACGAACATTTATGGGACTGACTGTAAATCGTGGATTTCAATGTATATTCCGCTGTCAGCGTTAATCTCGGAGTATCTTTTAAAATCCAAGCCGTTTGAATTTGCAAAAAAGTTGACTACTTTTCATCCAGTCAAAGATTCCCTGCGTCTTATCTTCCGATGCACCGATTCCTCTGCGGTTCTGCGCATCGCGTCGACTCGTTCGAACGCTCGCTACTCGTAAAGTTGCTCTCCGGGTCGACTCTTAAACGAGGTCCCGTTCGACGCCGCGATAACGGAAGCTGCGCGCGTTTGATAATAAGCGGAAGCAATCTCGGGCTGAGAATTCCGGAGAGGTATTTAATCGGGAACCGTCCGACGGAACGCGATTACGCGGGGCCGAATTAAAAACGTAATCAGAAGAGCAGAAACAACGGCAACCGGGGTTTCTTTTGTGAGAATTCTCGAATTTCGCTTCGGGGGGCTGGGGCGATTTCGTGGATGACCAGTGGCCTGGTTAACTTCGAGTAAGCTTCGATTCATTCGATTAGCGACGGGACGGATGTGTGTCGAAATGGTCGACCGCTTTGGAGCTTTGTTGGCCTCCTCGAGCAATTATGTAACCGATTTTTCATTTCATAATTAAATAGAAGAAAGTCCGACTACGTTTCGCTGGGCTGTTTGCTTTCTCACTTTCCGAGGCGTATTGCTGGATAGAATTACGATCGCATTGCGAATTCAGCTTCAAAATTAATACAAAAGAGAAACATCGAACGATGGGTTCTTTATATTGTAAAATGATTTACTTACTCTCTCAATGTGGGTTAAACAATATTTCACTATTCGTAGAAAGTTGAGCAACGGGTTGGTCTGCCCTAAACCCACCTAATCTCAAAAACTCAAGGAATATAAATTTTACATTAAAATTGAATTGTCACAGAAGATCTTAACTTACTTTAATTAAGTAAAGTAAATAATTGCTCAATTTTCCTGAAATGTATTATATTAGACATAACCCTCTATTCTATAGCATATCCGTATTTTATATAGATCTATCGTTAAACCCTCTCAGACAGTATACACATTGACGCTATTAAATATCGGCGTCCACATCAAATACTATCCACGTAGACAGTATACATGTATACATTAACGGCATTCAACATAGGAAATAGAAGGAACGTAAAGGAAATAGAAATTTATAACATTACTTAATATAAGTTAATACAAATAAGAATAATTTCATACTTTTTAGCGGAGTTTCGATAGTTTTCGAAGTTGGTTATATTTTCTTGCCAAATAGTATTTCATAGATCTATAGCATGAATCCTTCTTCGGATTAGCAGAGGGTTACGGGTGGTTAGGGTTGAAGTGATCGCCGCGATGACGCTAGAGGAACCACTTGTAGCTTCCACTCGCACTTCCGTGACTACCCGACGTGGCACGATTTTCAAAAACGACATCGGAAATGCATGTTCTCGTATAAATATTGATCATTCGGGATTTAGCGTTATCTGGAAGCGGATCGTGCGACTGCGAGAGATCTGAGGTGGCCTAGAACGGAAGGAGTCTCACTTGGGAGCAGCGAGACTTTGGATTGTTCTTCTTCATCTTTTCCCGCGCCATCGTCCATCATTTTCTTCTCGTTTCTTGCTCCCGTTATAATTCAGCAATCAGTACCGTGTGATTATTACTCATTGTTAATGATTGCCGTTGCAATAATCGACCACGATCGCGTGATTAACGAGTGATCATAAACTGAAAGTTTATTAGTGAACGAACACATAAACGATAGCAGAGTAGAAAGAAATCTGTAAGCTCGTTTAACAAATTTAGATGAAAGGTTAAGAGACGAGTTACAGGTTTATCTTTATCCATATTTATTTAACAAATTTTCAAGTTACAAATCAACAATTAATTTACAAATTCATA